TTAGTTCCACCACCCACCGCTAGGTGGCGTCCCATGAAGTAGGCAACCAACATGGCGTTAGTTCCACCACCCACCGCTAGGTGGCGTCCCATGAAGTAGGCAACCAACATGGCGTTAGTTCCACCACCCACCGCTAGGTGGCGTCCCATGAAGTAGGCAACCAACCAACATGGCGTTAGTTTCACCACCCACCGCTAGGTGGTTAGTTCCGCTATCTACCGCTAGGTGGCGCCCCACGAGGTAGGCAACCAACATTACACGCACGTACTGCGCATGCGCGGACGTCATATCCGCTTCACTGCGCATGCGCGAGGGAGGATCAGGATCACTTCCTGTCCAGAATCGGCCTTTTTACACTACTAATATCAAATAAATCTTCGTTTGGAACATAATACAGTACGGGTACTGCATTATCTGATACAGGCTTAATGAGACGTTCTTTGCCACCGATCATCAGTGTGTCATATTTTCGTACCATCCTATATTCTTTCACTGTCTTCTTTGATCCAGGCGTGATGAGTATCGTTTTAGATTTTTTAACCGCTGCTATACGGTTGTTATATTCGGTCAGGTTTAAAAAGGCTTTGTTATCATCACGTTTACCGCTTATAATAGACAACAGAGCGTCTTCAAATCTTTTGCGCATGTCAACGACATCCATATTTCAAAAAAAAAAGTAACAGCCAACCACGACGACGTTGAGATGCCTATTTAAAGCAATCACTTGGTGCAAGAAACAGTTTCACTCACTGCGGTCTTTTCACACACTGTAATCCACACATCCACTGCCCACTGCGTCTGTCAACACGTCTGAACACGTAAACATTCCGCAAACTGCTGGCAACGCAGCCATGCCCGAGTAGTTCCGGGTAGTGACGATAACAGCCGGCTCATCTTGTAATTATCAACATACGAGAGTAACAGATGGTACTCGCACATTGCTCGATTTAATCATGATTTGGTTTTTTGTGGCCTTAGGTTGGGTAGATCTCTGCGTACTCCTATTCTGAAAACATTGCGCTCATTTTCATCGATTAATTATGATAACTTTCAAGCTGATTTAAATTCGCTATCGTGGCAAGATTTTCTGTTAGAGGACGACATTAATATTAAGGTAAATAAACTAAGTGAAAATATATTAAATCTTTTTGATAAGCACGCCCCTCTGAAATCGGTGGTCTTTACGCGTCCTCCTGCACCTTGGTTAACTTATACCATAAGAGTGATGATGGGTTTACGTGATAGAGCTCTCAGGAAATACAGAGCAACTAGATCATTGGTGCTACTATAGGGACTTGCGCAATTTGACAGCTACTGCTATTAAAAGTGAAAAAAGGGCATATCTCGATTATTGTTTGCGTACAAAATCGCCCAAAGAAACGTGGAATACTTTGAAAAATTTGAGGGTTGGTAGGAAGAACATATCAATCAATTTATCTGATCAAACAATTAATGCTGATACTATTAACGATCATTTCATTAATTCGATACAACTCGCATCTCCACCAGATGAAATTTATAACTACTACACTTCAAATTTTGTTTGTGGTGTGACCGGCGACTTAGCTATGAATTTTTCTGCAGTTGAGGAGAGTGATGTAATGAAGGCTTTATTAACTATTAAAACTAATTCTGTCGGGTCTGACGGTATAAGCTTACAAATGATTAAACTATGTCTACCTGTTTTACTGCCCTACATCACACACGTGATTAATGCATGTATAATTGCGTCGATATTTCCAGATAAATGGAAATGTTCGCTGGTTGTACCACTACCCACAAAATCTGGTCCACACACTTTAAATGATATTAGACCCGTATCGGTTCTTCCAGTTCTGTCTAAGGTACTGGAAAAGATACTGGCATCACAGTTAACGAGTCACCTAAATCAGTTTGAAATCTCGCCCGATTTTCAGTCAGCTTTTAGATCTGGCTACAGTTGTGCCACTGCGCTGGCAAACGTTACGGATGACATTGTTACAGCTAGGGATGCGGGATTAACTACAGTGCTTGTGCTTTTGGATTTTTCAAAGGCTTTTGATATGATTGATCATAGGTTGTTGTTATGTATACTTCATTATGTTGGGATGGGCCGATGTGGTGTTCAGTTAATGGATAATTATTTGCGAGATCGTACACAGAGTGTGTTGTTTGGGGGCAGTCAATCCAGCAATTTAAATGTGAAATCGGGCGTGCCACAAGGCTCAGTGCTTGGTCCACTGCTGTACTCGATACATACACTCAATATTCAAAAGTACATTCGTACCTGTCGCTATCATCTCTATGCGGATGATACACAGATATATTACTCTTTTAAGCCATCGGATGTTGCGTTAGCTTCTAGTCAAATCAATCAGGACTTGAGCGGGATTCTCCGCTTTGCGGATGATCACGGTTTAGTGGTAAATTCGGATAAAACTGTTGGTTTGGTCTTTGCGAATGGAAGAAAGAAACTGGCTGCGCAGCGGGATCTGGGATTGCTTATTGGAGGGGCTGAGGTGATGTATCAGGATTCGGTCAGGTATTTGGGAGTCTGGATAGATTCAGAATTAAGATTGAGGAAGTTTGTGTCCTGTCTAGTCAGGAGGGCGTTTGCCAGTTTAAAGATGTTATATTCACACAAAACGGTTTTGAATGTGAAACTTAGAAAATTGTTATGTGAGTCATTTGTCCTATCACATTTTAATTACTGTGATGTACTTTATCATTCGTTTATAGATCAAGTTAGTGCTGGTAGAATTCAGAGAGTGCAGAATAGTTGCTTACGATTTATCTATGGTATTAAACGTCGTCAGCATGTTTCTCATATGTTAGAGGCCGCCAATTGGATAATATGTGGAGGAGAAGGTTTTTACATACCGCTTTGTTTTTTCATAGTGTGTTGACTTGGCGAATGCCTCCTTACCTATAACTTACAGAACTGATATTCATAATCTCGGTACTCGATTCAGAGGTCAGGTCGCAATTCCAAGGCATAGGACTCAACTATTTAAGAAATCATTTTCATACAATATTGCAAAGTATTCCACTGATCTTAATCGTTGCTTTTGTTTTAAGTCGAGATATAAATTTAAAAAGGCCGTCATAAAATATTTATCTGAGCTGCGGTGAGGGTGGGTTCGTTAGTTGTGGCAATGTTCAATGTGTTCAAATTGGTCAATCGGTGGTTCTGGTCAAAAGCTGTTTGAAATATTTAGCTTAATCCATCTATATTGTTAGCTATCTATAGTTTTTCTTTTTTTTCTGCGGGCTGCGTGGAGGAGTGGATCGTGACTATGTTACGAGCCAAACGCAGTCCATTTGATTGCAACCCCGTTCTATTGTAAATTTTTTTTTTTTTGTATATTCATGTTTGATTTTTTGTTTATACTAAATATATGTAAAGTATGTGGGTTGTGCCAATAAATATTATTATTATTATTAACGAATTTTGAAATTTTACGCATCTTCGAGTTACAAGTAAATTATATTTTTTGCGTCTTAAATATGGTTGCTTGACTTACGTTTTTTCTTTGTAAAATCTTTTAGCAATAAAATGCTCTGAAGAAGATTGTAATCAACAATCTAAATATAAGCTATTTAAAAAGTTGTTTTACTTTAAATCCTGCTGACTGAAAATCCGATTAATTGATTTTATTTGTTTGGTTTACAACTTGTACGTTTGTTTGTGTCTTGTTTGGTCAAGAGAACCTTTCTGGCTTGTTTGACCGTCAGTACGACAAAAGCAATATCTTGTCTTTAATTATTGTCATAATAATTGTAATAAAGTAATTCTTATTATAATTTACTGAGCAGTTTAATTTAATGCTAGATTCTGAAGACCGGATTCAACAACTATATTTATCATCATTGCATGCGCACATATGTCAAAGACCAAGATCTCAAGAACTTGACGATGAATGGCAGTGCACATCATCCGTACCCTATTGCAAAACAATAACAGCGTTGTTAAATCATATGACATCATGTCAAAGACGAAGATCTGAAGAACTAGCCGATGAATGGCAATGCACGTCATCTGTACCCCATTGCAAAACAATGAAAGCGTTACTAAATCATATGACATCATGCCAAAAGCTTCAGAACTGCATGGTGCCACATTGTAGCTCTTCGAGGGAACTAATAAGCCATTGGAACGATTGTGCGAAAAACGATTGTTCAATTTGTTTACCATTGAAAGAAGCGGATGAACGCAGCACTAGTCCTTTTCATTGGGAATTTGCCCTACACCTTGCCGCTGCCAATAACAACATCGAATGGGGCCAATTATTGCTGATAAAAGGAATGGATGTTAACGCACGCAACGCGTGCAATCAGACTCCTTTGTATGTTGCTATTATGTGCGGAAACCTTGAATTTGGACGATTTTTAATCGAAAACGGAGCGGATGTTAATGTTAACGACGATGATGGACGAATAAATGTAAATTTAACAATTTTACACTATGTCGCTGTGATTGGAAACATTGAATTGGGGCGACTATTATTAAAAAACGGTGTTGATGTTAATGCGAAGGATATCAATAAAAGGACACCGTTACATTTCACTATTTTGGCAGGAAACATAGAATTTGGTCGGCTACTAGTCGAAAATGGGGCCGATGTTAACGCTAAAGACAATGATGGGAAAACCCCCTTATATTTTGCTATAGTGTGGGAAATGTTAGAACTTGGACGGCCCCTAATTGAAAATAAAGCAGATATCAATGCTAAGACAAAATGTGAACAAACACATTTACATTTGGCTGTAAAGTGTAAATGCATTGAGTTTGTCATGTTCTTAATTGAAAATGGGGCTGATGTTAATGCTGAAACAAATGAAAATGCGACAATTTTACACTATGTCGCTGTGAAGGGAAACATTGAATTGGGGCGACTATTATTAAAAAACGGAGTTGATGTTAATGCGAAGGATATTAATAAAACAACACTCTTACACGTAACTGCTAAGCTAGGACACATAGAATTGGGTCGGCTACTACTCGAAAATGGAGCCGATGCTAACGCTAAAAACAATGATGAGGAAACACCCTTATATTTTGCTATATTCTGGGGAAACTTAGAATTTGGGCAGCTCCTAATTGAAAATAAAGCAGACGTTAATGTTACGATGAAAGATAACCTAACAGCTTTACATATGGCGGTAACATTTAATCATATAGAATTTATCATGCTCTTAATTGAAAATGGGGCCGATGTTAATGCTGGAACAAGTAGAAATGAGACAGTTTTACACTATGCCTCTATGAATGGAAACATTGAATTGGGTAGATTATTACTCGACAATGGGGCCAATGTTAACGCTAAAACCAATTGTGAGGAAACACCCTTATATTTGGCTACCATGAAAGAACACATTGAATTTGGACGGTTCCTAATTGAAAATGGTGCAGATATTAACGCGGGGGACAAATGGAAATATACACCTTTACATTGGGCTGCTAGTTATAAGAACAGTGAATTTGCTTGGTTGCTAATTGAAAATGGAGCTGATATTAATGCTAAAGCTACGACAGGTGAGACAATTTTACTTTCTGCAGCTATAGGTGGAGACATTGAATTGGTTCGACTACTACTCGTAAATGGAGTGGATGTTACAGCTGAGCTCGCTTGGAAAGAAATATCCAACACACAGCGATTTTGTGAAGAAATACTTTCACAGTTTGCCTCTAGTACTGGAAACCTTGAATTGTATCGGCTACTTCTTGAAATTGGAGCGGATTTTAGAGTTAGTACCATGTCACCCATGTTTGTTGCCGAGGAGAATAATAACCTTGAATTTATTCGCTTGCTAATCGAATATGGAGATGATGTTAACATTAAGAACTATAATGGAGGCACTCTGTTACACTTTGCCGCTATTAGAGAAAACATTGAATTGGGGCAACTTCTACTCGAAAATGGGGCGATTGTTGACGCTAGAGACAACGCTGAAAAAACGCCTTTACATTATATTGTCTCTAACTTTTATGATGATTGCACGGCTGAATTTTTTTGCATGTTGTTATATTACAACGCGTCTGTAAATGAAGCTGATAATTTGGGATATGTGCCATATATAATTGCCTTAAATTCCAATAATGTTAAAATGGCGGCTATGTTATATGATTATGTAGACGAATTGGATTATGTTGTTGTACTTAAAACACTGAACGCAGCAATGTGTTTATTTACGTTTAACAATTCTATACCTGACGACTTTTTTGAAGACTTAAATAAAGCAAACATAGATGACGCGACAGACGAACAAGTACTTAGAGATATTAACGGTATTGGTTTTGCACCAATATACGCACGTTTTACTCGTTGCCATAACAGTATAAAATGGGTTTGGTTGCTTTTAAGTAAAGGATTTCCAGTGACATTATATGACATCGAAGTCTTTTACGAAACGAAAGGTTTTTGTGAAGAAATTGAAGCAATTTTATCGTCGGAGGTGCCTATCAGGTATGATAATTATTGTGGATCTTTTATAAAAAAGTTAATCTATAATCGAATCGACAATTACGGTTATTACTTTACGACAAATAATTACTTTGCAAAAAAGGGACATGTTCCTAGCTTAATACAAATCGCGCGAGATCGTTGTAGGAAAGATATTTTTAACGAACATCAAACAGGTGCTAATTTTAAAGCGTATAATGTTATTATGCGGATGGAAATTCCTAAATTAATCAAAGATATTCTAGTATTAAAACATCCAATTTATACATTAAATTGAATAAAAAGTATTATGTAGAAACGATAGAAATAGTTTAACTTCAACTTTTATTAAAATTATTAATTTTAATTCAGGTTTTGTAAGTTGTAAATAAAAGGTTTTCTAATCAAACGATGAATCCGAATTTAGTATTTAGACTGTACCTCCATTAACTCCTTTTCTGATAATAAAGTTATTATCTTTCAGGCTCTAATGCTTTATGAGGATCACTATGGCAGGTACCAAATTCTAAGGTATAATCAGTATTTTATGTACAAATTTTCTATAAGAATTCTATTAGAGAACACTGTTATATCAGGAATCAAACAGAGATCTACTAGAGATCACAAATCCGTGATTCACCAACCGGAACGTATTGCCATCTCAAATACTAGATGTAGGAACACTAAACTGGGCTAATGTAGGCACAGGAATCAGATTTTTACAGCCTACAGAAGCAAATGTGGAAACTTTTCAGACAACACAGAAAATAGATAAACGAATTGATAGAATCGAACCAAATAATAATAATAATTAATAATAATTCACTTTATTGCCCAACAAAGATCAATTACAGGACAATATTACAAGAAAAAGAAAATAAGAAATAACACATGCCATAAAACAAATATAATTCACATAAACACTCTTACACTATTATTGATTGTTAGTTAGTTTACACATCCTCTGCACCGGGGAGTTGGCTAAAACATTGGATCTGCAATTCCTCAAATAAAACTGATTTGTACTACGTGTTGCACGCGTAGGCACCGCGAAAATGATCCGCGACAACAACCAACCACAATCCAATTCACCTTGCACTAACTTCTGCAAAAACTTGATGCACTGGTCATCTCTTCTTACGTCTAGTGCAGAAAAATTGTGACGCCGCAGCAGGGATGCGTAATCCATTCCACGATCCGGGTATGATCCGTCCAGGCGTAGAGACAAATATTTGAGAAATCTCCTCTGAATTCTCTCCAATATAAGTCTATGACACACATAATGTGGCGACCAAATTACAGAGCCATATTCCAATTTGGACAATACAAAGGTCGAAAATAGGGTCTTGTACACACCGATATCAGAAAAAGCACGCGAGGTGCGCAAAACGAAACCAAGCATCCTCGCTGCAGAAGATGCAATATTTTCGATGTGAGGTACAAAAGACAATTTGCGGTCAAAAGTTACTCCCAGATCCTTGATTGTAGATAGTTTCTCAAGAAGAACACCTTCTATATAATAAGAAGATGGAAGAGGAGACAGCTTGCGTGTAAAACTAACCGCACCGCACTTATTGGCATTAATCTTTAGCTGATAACGGTTACACCATTCCACCAAGCCGTCCAAATCCGACTGAAGACTGACAACATCACGGTCCGCAAAAATAGGTCGGAATAGTTTCAGATCATCCGCGTAAGCTAGTACGCTTGATGAAAATTTGTCTAGAAGGTCATTCAAGAAGATAACAAATAGTAGGGGGCCCAGATTTGAGCCCTGAGGAACATCAGACCTAGCCGTAAACTCCATAGACACATAACCGTTGTAGTACACATAATTTATACGACCCGATAGGTAAGAGGCAAATAGTTTCATAAACTTAGGAGATAAGCCAAAAGCACTAAGTTTATACAAGAGGACGTCATGATGAATCATGTCGAATGCTTTAGAAAAATCAGTGTATACCACATCTACCTGACCGCCCCTATCCAAAGATTCACAAATTACCTCAGTAACCACCGCGAGGTTGGTAATGGTCGAACGACGCTTGATAAACCCATGCTGATATGGTGACACAAATGACTGAACCTGTGGATAAATCATCTTGTAAATAATCTGTTCAAATACCTTAGCGAAATTGGACAATAACGATATTGGTCGATAATCAGTAATGTTGGTACGTTCGCCATGCTTGAATACAGGAACAATGCGTGAGCGCTTCCAAAGTTTAGGAAACGAGCAAGTGCTTAAGGATAGGTTAATTATTAAATGAAGCGGAACTGCAAAAACTGCACAGCAATCACGAATGAAAAATGCAGGAAGATCATCATCACCAGCAGTAAATTTATTAGGTAACCTTTTTAGGAAATGAAGAACCTCTTCTTCGGTGACATCGGCAACAAATACTGGAGGATACGTAGAGTGTACATCAACCATGTTATAAGCAGAGACACCAGAATATACTCCAGAGAATTGATCTGCAAAAGCATTAACTATTTTTTCAGGATCAGTGTAGGTGGACTTATCACGCATCATTTTTCCAGGAAGTCGAGAGGTCGTTGTTTTCTGTCTTATATAATTCCAAAAGTTACGGGGATCAGAACTAAGCGATTGTTCAGCACTAATAGTAAAGGAAGTATACGCATCAGAGATTTTCTGTTTAGTCAAACATCTCAGTCTTTTATATTCCGCTGAATAGAAAGCACTATTGCTTCTCCTCCACTTCCTCCTATAATACTCTTTCAACTTTAATAGCCGCTTAATTTCTGGGGTGTACCAAATAGGGTATGAGGATCCCCGACTCAATCTCTTAGGAACAAATAAATCCAAAATCTCATACAACTTTTTATAAAAAGCTCGCAAAGCATCATCCGCATTAACCTCCACATTTAGAAAAGACCAATCCGTGTAAAGTAGTTTATCATACATGCCAGGAAAGTTGGCTCTTCGAAAATTATATCGACCACCCAAAGACGGAAAGTTCGGCAAACCATCATTTGCCGTCAGTAAATTCATTGTAATATCTAAGGCAGGATGGTACTGATCCTCGTAGACGAAGGGACAATCATCATGAACAAGATTAAACTGATGGTCAGTATTTGTCAGAACCAAATCCAATAGACGATTGTCACAGTTCAGTACATGATTGAGTTGGCGAAGGTCCAGAAAATCACAAAAGTTACGAAATAACTCCGTTTTTCCACATTTGGTTGACATACCAGGCGCCTTAATATATTCAGGCAAATTAAAATCACCAAGGATAAGGACAGGATAATTCAAAACTTTATGTTCTAGGGCGTCCAAGAAACATAGTAAATCAGGTTGCGGATTATCAGGAGGTATGTACAACACCACGATATATAAGGTCACAGACCATAAAGAGCACTTGCAAATCAACACATCGACAAGTGGTACTAAAGCCTGAATGTCTATAGAATCAACCAGCTCAACATCATGATGACTAGCTACAGCAAGCAGAACTCCACCACCTCTGTTATGTCCAACCAAATCAAACTTACGATCAGCTCGTAAGACTCTGTACTTATCCACGAATAATTCATTAGATCCAAGATCCGAATTTAAATTAGTTTCCGATAAAGCAATCAAATCATAGGTACAATCAGAACAATTGACATAAAATTCACGCGTTTTTGTACGAAGACCATTAATATTTTGATAGTATACATTAACAGATTGATACATTTTGTTGGGCAAAATCAGTTTTCCGAAGCCTTGACAATTGAGGGAATGCCACGGATGTACTT